TGGTGTTAGGAATTTTCTTTGGAGAATCCTCTCTTAATCATGTGTTGGAAATAACCGATTGAAGTTCTAATAAAAAGTGGCTTATTTCTCTGCTTTGTCTTTCTTTGGGCTTGAACAAGATTTTCACGTCTCAAGGGACAGAGTGTTCAGAGGAGAGAGTGTGATAGGACAGGTCAGAACTCGGAAACAGTGACTGTTTCTACTGGACCAGACCTGGAGGTCTGAGTGGGCGACGTGGCTGAGCTGCTGGTAGGTGTTATGCTGGGGGGAGACTGAAGTCTAGGTGGACAAATCTAGGCTTTGTTTTCTGGTTGACAAGACAGAGGGAAGTGAGACGAGCAGATCCCTGCGTAGGTTGAAGCAGGGCAGACGGGGGGCGGGGCGGGGGGCACGCTGCAGGAGCCCTGGGGACTAGAGAAGGAGCAGAGGTGCCACCTGACTGTGAAGGCTCCAGGCAGGCCAGCACGAGGCCTGATGGCTTCTCTGACCGTGGGGATAAGGTGTGGAATAAGGAGACGAGGACTCACGGGATGTGGATGTTTGCGGCCAGGAGAGGTGGAATGCCCCTGGTAGAAGAAGTTGGCTGTCCTGGGCAGCTGGGAGCTCAGCAGAGGGATGGGGTCCTTTTGAACCTGTGCTGTCCTTCTGTTTCCTCTTTTCTCTGTGCTCCTTGAGTCACCTTCCTCTGATTTGGAATAGTTTTTATAGTTCCATTTTAATTCTAGAGGAAAAACAGAAGTCTCCCTGACATTGTCATATTTAAACTGAAGCACTGCAGCCTCTGCGCAGACCTTGAAAGTATCCCTTACTGGGTCAAAAGTGTTTCCTGAGCCTGCCCTGTGGGATAGGGGAAGTGTTCGGCTGAGGCGGGGGACAGATAATGGGACAGAAGTCACCTTCTCCCGCCACTCTCCCAAGTAAGGATCTGATGGACACACCTCGTGTCAGATGACAGCTCTCAGCTGCCCTGAGTTCACTCCTGGGCAACAATGAAGTTGTGCCAGTTTACATCTTTCCTCATAAAATGGGTGTTGAACAAATAGTTTTGCATTGAGGTCACAAAAACACTTCTTTGTGGCATCAAGGGACCAGCTAGATTTTGCTCATGTAACAAGTAATTTCTGTACTGGGAGTGTAGCACTAAACACATGGCCTCTGTCCCAGGTATCAGGCCTCTTTGGGGGTTGGGACAGTGAGGCCACCTTGTCACTCTGACAACAGGGTACCTAGAAGCCCTGGGAGGGGATGCCCATCTCAAAAGAAAGGGCCGTTGGGAGCAAGTATTTAAATGCTGCTAGAGAGTGACACTGACTGAGTTCCAACCCCAGTTTGGGCCTATGTTTCCTCATCAGTAAAATGGCACAGGTAACAGCACATATCTCATGTGGCTATGCTAACAAATGAAATAAATTCGTAAATGTAAAGTGCTTAGGCCAGTGCAGTAAAGTGTTCGCAGTTCTTCTCCATTCTGTGTAAAGATGGTAAGCTGAGGCCCTGGGTCACAGGTGGTGACGGCAGCCAGCCGGGACGTCCGTCTCCAGAGCGCTACGAGGTTGCTGGTGCTGCTCCCCTCTATTCAAAAGGGATGCTAAGCCAGGCCAGTGCCCGGCACTTGGTGCTCTTTAAATGGGGGAGAAAGGGTCTGGTCTTGATTTTTATCACATTGTCCCCTGAAGGGAACTAATCTTTGTCCCTGGATTCCTGTGTTCTTGGACAGTTACCCCACCTCCCTCGGGACAGACGCCTCACCTTCCCTGGGGCCTTTCTTGGCCTGTGTCTGTTGTAGACAGTCTGGTCGGCCTACAGCTACTCTGAGAGGTAGTTCTCAATTGTGTATGAACATGAGACCCCAAGACTGCTGAATTCTGAGGTATGATTGTGTTTGACTAATTATTCACGTGTTAGTGTTACCAAGAAGACACCCATTTTAGCAGCGTCATTGGTCAAATCCTTAAGATAGATCACCGGAAGGACACCTCTGTCACTGCCTCTGGGTCCTCCTGTGGTGACAGGTTGAGTTCTACTTTGGATTGCATATTTGACTGTTGGCTTTTTGTTGTTAGGACATACCTTTAAGCCACCTCAAATTTCATTCACAATCAAGTCAGATACAAAGTAATAATTCAAATATGCACACCAATACTTTGTTTTAATGTCCCATTGCTAATAACCTGTTAAAGCTAATCTTTTGTTGAATTTATTTATTTGTTTTTAAAACTGTGTTTTTTTAAACTCTGTATTCCAGTCGATGAGAATAAGTATTGACGTGTTTGCTGCATATTAGCTATCTGGGAACGGATGTGTGGGGTCCACACATAGGCTAGTCCTACCGCTGGCCCAAGTATGTGAGTGCTGGGATTTGTGCATGTCTCAGAGGATGGACACAGCCTCCTAGGGGCCCAGAAGGGGTCAAAGGTTGAAAGTAGACCCAGGAAGCCTGTTTGAATAAATGAGGAAGGTAGCAGTACTGAGAATGAAAGTGAAACATTAAATACATATCCGAATCTGCCACTGTGTAACTGCAGCTGCTTCCAGCTACCCATTTAGCTATTCTTTCCAAAACTGCCCTAAGATGTCAGTAACCAGTTAAAGTGTAAAACCACAGGACAGGAGAAGGGAAGAAACAGTGACAGGTTTCCATGATGTGTAAGACACCTCGATCAGCCCAGCACAGGGGGAAGGGGGCAGCAAATGAAGGTGTTGATGAAACCTCAGATTGGGGGAAGCATGGCATCTAGGAAGCAGGTGATCCACATCCTCTCTACTCCCCAGAGGGGTTTGTTCTCTGGAAAAATGGACTAGGAGCCTCCAGGTTTAGGGACACCAAGCAGGACTGACCCCACAGGTGCTGAATCAGAGCGTGCATTCTGGAGGGAAAGACGAGTCCAGCCCCGAATGGGAAACATTCCTGTGTTTGGTCACAAGACAGGAGACCACGGGCCTCATCTCTGGACAGATGGACCAGCCCAGATAAAAGACCCGCTGGGAATAGACCTGGTGCCACTGCCACAGGAAGAAAACACTGCTTGCCACTCCTTTAATGGTAATAAAGAAGAAATTGTAGAAGTTGACAGAAGAGAGAAAAACAAACAGGTTTTACATAACGATTATAACTTCAGAATGGCATTTAACATCTCAGCAACAGTAGCTGACATGAAAGGCAATGGATGCAAATAATTTTCAAATATATTTATACAAATAAATTTTCAGAGTTACAGAAAATTTTACTTAAAATTCTGACTTGTAATATGGCAGTTATGCAGCAAGCCTGGGCCAAGCAGCCAGTGTGAGAGCAGGAGGGGATTCCAAGAGGGGGCTCTTCAAGGAAAAGGAAACTGAACTGAAACACTGTCACCAGATTGTCAGTGTTTGACCACAGGGGAGAAAAGAACTGGAAAGAGTTTTTCAGCGCTTTTGGATATTTTTGAAAGGATTAGCAGTAGGTACATTGAAAACCAAGATAATGGAACAGGAAGATACAAATATTAACTGAAGGATAACCAAAAAAAAAGTAAAATAGGAAGGTATTTGTAGCATACTACCAACTCATAATCCTAGGGATGATATGGTGAGGGCCACGGCTATGTACAGAGTCTGCGTACTGTCTAAAATGGGTAGTTCAGTACAATTATGAGTCCATGTGTATAAATGCCAATGTAAACGCAAGGTAACTGTAATAATACTTAATAGTACTCTGATTTTCATGCATGTTTCATAAAACTAGAGTAATTTTTAAAATGATCATTTAAAAATTCTGTACATTTGATAAATTCCGTGCATCTGTTTGATAAAAAAAATAAGTGTTTTTGAAAAAGATCATTTTAAATGATTGTTTGTAGATAGTAACTGAAAGAAATCTGGTAGCTGTGAATATTCCAGTTGCCAAGAACTGTTAATTAATGATGTCAGTGTGCTTGCTACCGACCTCACATGTGGCCACAGCCGAGGTATCTTTCACAATTCTAATCTAGCTAACCTCCTGTGTGGACCCACAAACATGCCATCAGAAATCAAAGTGCAGAAATCACCACTAGAGGAATATTAAACCCAGGGACAGATGACTCTCCTGGAACCATCATGGAGAACCAGGGACTACACACTGTCTTGTTAAAATTGCTGTCTCTGGTTTACTTCCTATCAAATATGCTGGTCCTTTTCTGAAAAAGTAGCAATTAATGTTAATGGTCAGTGCTCAGAATTTCTTCATATCTGAACTGTAATGATTAAATTTCCCCATAGAATGCTTACTTTTCTCTAGATCGTGCTTTTACTGCTCTAGTTCTGAAGTATAAGAGATACTGTGATTGCTCGATTTAGGTCAGTGTTTGACCAGCACCCACTGAATCATTTTTAACCATGTTAACATTTTCGGTAATGCATCAAAGCAATATTGAAATACAATTTGTTCAACCATTTAGCTTCAAATGGAGTAAGAATCCAAAGAGTTTGAAATTTTGAATGAACGAAGATAGAAGTTTATGCCCAATCCTAGTTACCTGAATTATATTGTTAAAATATCCTATAAGATTTATTTTAAAGTTTTCTTTAGCTTAATGATAAATGTAATTTTTAATATTCTCGAGTGTTTTTTCACAACTTTCTTTTTGTTTATTAAATAAAGATCATTAATTGATTCTGTGCATTGGGCTCCATTTTCTTTCTTTTATTTTTTTTGCCTAAACTCTAAAGATTTCAGAGGTTGCTTGTGGCTTAGTTTGCATCTCTTCCCAGGAAGCACTACAGGTTTGTGATATTCAGGAGCCTGTTTCTAACGGCTGTAGTGTGGACAGGAGTCTTGCCATGCCTTGGATGCTTCTCCCTCTGCTGGTCATCGTCCACCACAACCTGGCCCCCATGCCCACTCCCGTATGAGCTCTAGCTCGGCTGTGGGAATGCAGTGAGTCAGGGCTTTATTCTACCAACTGATTTGCTCTCCAAAGTAAGTCAAGTCCAGTTGCCAAGTAAAACCTCACCTTACTTTGCTCTTTCCCTTGACTCAGGGGTGGATCAAGCTTTGCCGCCAGAACGCCGGGCTCCAGTTACTCCTTCCTCTTCCTCTCGCTATCACCGCCGAAGGTCCTCAGGGTCACGAGATGAGCGCTATCGGTCAGGTAAGGCACCAGTGTGGACGTGAGGTCACTACTGCCCTGCTCTGCAGTGCTGGCAGTGAAACAATTGCGTGGGCACCTGTCTGGAGCAGCTCCCTGAACAGGAGGCAGAAGTACATACATCTAAACGTTCTCATGATTCGTTGTGTGATGCACAGGTGATGGCCTCCCCCCTCAAACACAGATGTTATTTCTAAACACATTCAAACTCAGTAAATAGTGACTGCTCTCACATTTTTAAAGATAGTGTTGTTTACTATGTAGAATTTGATAGTTAAAAAAATAGTAACTTCTCATGGTCCAAAGTTTATATTTTGAGGTATCACTGTTCAGCAGTTTGGTTATCATTTTAATGATGTTGGTTACTAGTATAATTTTTTCTCCACTTTCAACCTCAGTAATTTCTTAAGTACAATTTTCAAAAAAGAATCAAAATCCTTAAAATTTTGTATATTCTGTGTTATTTTGTGTTTTATGATGCTGTCTACAAGAGTGCTATCTCGGTAATTCCATTTTAATTGTAATCATTACCTCGGTGTGGCTAGCTTGAATTTATCTATTAATTTAGCATCAGAAAACTTGTTTTGTGATTACTATTTTAAGCACCTTTTGAGAGATTCTTTCTCCCTCACCCCAACATCTAGATTAAAGTTGTTTATACCTAGTTCCCTAACTACAATTGTTAGATGAAAACTATCAGTATGTGTTTTTGCTGGGACGCCGGTTCAGGGCATGTGTGGATTGCTGATGGTAATGATCTGAATTATAATATTATAAATATTGTAATATTTGTATATCACTTTATAGTTGGTAAAGTACTTTCACAGACATCATCTCACTTAAGTTTTTATAACAAATGGGTGAAATGCTTATTACTGTTTCATGTGGCAGAAGAGGAAGCTGAGGTTATGCAAAGGCATAGCTCAGCCAGTTCATACCAGGGTTGGGCAGGTCCATGTTTCATGAATCTTTCCATTGATGTGGGCTTATAAACCACCGCCATTACCTCTAGGGAGCTGTCTGCCTGACTTTCTGGTCCTATTCTCCTTTCTAGAGGAAATGAAGTGGTAAGACAGATTTTATGGCATCAGGAGTAATTATCTGCACAAGCAAGAAGAAAGAACTCAAGAAACTAGGAAAGCCCAAGAGAAGCAGCCTCACTGCTTCTCTTCCTGTTTTCTCAGCCTCTCTGAAGAGGTCTTGATGCCCAGGTCAATACGTGGGGATGGAATGAAGGCAGAAGTTTGTTCCCAAACCCACCTTCTGATTTTCAAAGGTGTTTTAACACCTAGCACATATCAAGAACCCGTCTTAGCCATTTAGATGCCTCAGAGGCTCCTTTTAGACAGTTAGAAGGGAAGAGGCATGCAAGGTGTGCTGTCAGCGTACTATGAAACCTTTGCACTAACTCCTTCACCTTGATAACTGCTGCTAGTGTTTTATATATGTGTATACACATGTAGGCACACACATGTAGATACACACATAGTCCCACATATAGTAGACACATGTAGTCACACACACAGACTCCTACATATAGTAGACCCATGTGTAGATACACATGTAGAGACCCAGAGTCCCACATAGAGTAGACACATACACATAGTCTCACATACAGTAGACACACCTGTAGACCAGACAGGAAGACACGTGCTTACCATCATCAGTATTGTCAGCTCTCACAGAAGCCAGTCCCATGCTCTTTTTTTTCATTTTCTAGATGAGAAAATGGAAGTTTAAGAAGGAATGTGATTATTAATGTTACTGCAGTGAGTAGCTCATCAAAATAGGATGCAAATCTAGTTCTGTCTTCCCTGTCATCTGATCTCTTACCACAAAGATTTTTATCTTGCATCCATTTCTAACGTTTAACTCTCTGTTAATTTTTAAAATTTAGATAGAAATTAAATCCCAGGAAGTCTATTTCCCAGATTATCTGTCTTTACTGACAATGAGGGTGGAGATGATAAATCCCAATGTTTATGTGGCCTTTGATAAGGTACACTGTATTTTGCAAATCTTCCTAGTTATTTAGGTGGTAGGTAGGACAGATGGTCAGACAGTAGAAGTCTGTGAGAGGTTAACACAGCACTGATGGTGAATCCTTGGCCTCAGGTACGTGTCAGCTCACCTGTGCACATCACTGTCCTGTGCACCGAACTGTGCACGTTCTAGGGTGGAAGAGAGGATGTGGGAGAGCAGTGCAGTATGGGAAGGTATGGGCTGAGGACAAGAATCAAGGGCAACTTCAGGGATTATTTTCACTAGTCAGTAGAAATATGGCCAACGTAGTCCTCTGCAAAGGAAACTAGATCCATCTGGGTCCAGCCCACCTTAAGCCCTACTTTAGAATCACCATTAATTCCTCACCCACATCACTGTGAGGTGGAGGAGCAGTGAAGAAAAGCTGCAGTTACTGTTAGTCCCTTTCCAGTGAGAGCTCCACACTGGGACAGGAGCACTTGGTACTTCCTCCCTCTCCCTGCATCCAGGCTGCACAGTTCTAACAAGCTCCTGACCTGGTGGCTTTGTTTCCTGGGGGCATCTCCCCAGGCTACCTGTCCCGTTTCCTCTACATATTTCTGGATTCCTCTCACTGATTGCCCTTTCTGCCCAGTTGTTGAGATCACCCCTTCCCTGTGGCTGAATTTTGGGTTCTAGGCCTAAGGTCAAAGACTAGCTCAGCCCCTCGCTTCCAGCTCCCAAAGGAGTGTGATGAAGTTTTCTTCCTGATCTGCTTGGTGCTGGAGAGCTCTAGAGAAAATAAGACACAGCCTCCCCTTGCCCTAGGAGTTCACAATCTAAGGAAGAACCAGGCCAGCGAACTGAAGGGCAAGTGTTAGTGTGTAGGGTGGTCTCTGAGGAGGTTCACAGCACTGTGAGTTCCTAAACACATCAGTTGGCAACCCTCCTCTGCTCAAGCATCCCATCAGCTCCCATCACTCTCAGAATAAGAATCTCATTCCCACATGGACCTGCCGTGTGCATGTTCTGGCTTCCATTCCTCCTTGATCTCGTCTTTCATGTTACCTGTCCTCTGCAACTACACTGGTGTCCTGGGTGGTTTTGAGCACGCAGGTACCTGACTCCTGTAAGGCCTTTACATTATCTGTTTTTCTGCCTAGAATGTTCTTTCCTGATATACATACACTGTTGGTTTCCTTACCTTCGTTAGGTCTCTGCTCAGGTGTGACTGCTTTTGTGAGGTATTCTCTGACCACCCAAATAGAATGGTAAAGCACCATGTAACTTGAGACATGATCCCTACTCTTCCCCTCCCTGATTCATTTGTATCCATTGCTGTCATAACCCCAGCACTTACCTGTCTACTATATTCCTATCTATCAGCCCATCTCCCTGTCTGTCAAACATCTCTATCGATAACCTACCATCCATCCATTATCTGCCTACATTTACCTACCTATATCAATCACCTGTCTAGTTAGCTATATATTAATTATTTACCTACTTGCCTGTCAGTTGTCTTTCTATGATCTATCATCTGTTAACCATCTACCTACCATAAAAACGTAAGATCCAAAAAGACAGAATCTTTGTTTTGTTTATTCATGTATGTGAAACACATAAAAGATGTTGCCTAGTTAATAGTTTTGAAAGGAAGGAAGGGGAGGGAGCATAGCACATTTGGGGAAAAGCACGAAATTACGTACAGGTGTGATGGGGGGTAGAGTTTCTTAAGGTATCTGTTATACTGCGCTCTGGAAATTAGACTTTATCCTGAAGATGATAGAATACCACTTGAAGATTTTAGGCAAAGATATGACAGGAACAGTTTTAGCATTTAAAAATTACTTTGGTTAGCACTGTGGAGTATGGATTAGCAGCAGAGAAGTTGCAAAGACCCTCAGTCCCTGATATCCATGCATGTTTAGGAGATGACTCGGCGCTGGTAAGATGTGGCATGTGTTTAGAAGATAATAGCAATCAGACCCTAAGGCTGAGTTAATAATATAGGGGTGTGTGAGAAAGGAAATTAGGGGAGAGTCCTAGGTGTCAGATGAGACACCTGAGTAGATGATGGCCTCTGGGTCTGTCTTTAGAGAACTAAGGTTTCTTTCATTTGTAGGCTACAGATCGTGGGATTTGCCTCAGCTATTTACTTGCTATGTAAAGGATATGATGAAAAATTGTACAGCCATTCCTTGAAGTGTCATGTAAGGCAGGGAAAATGTGATTCCATATATACTATTATAATTTTTAAAAATTTGTACTCCTCTAAAAAATACAACAAAGATTAAATTGGAACAGGAAAAAAGGTGCATACTCCTCTCAGTTTTGAATAATGACTGCCTAATTTACATATGGGACAGACCTATCCAGAAGGTCTTTCTAGGTGCTTGTGACATATCAGCTGGGGCTCTTGTTCTCTACAGTCAGCACCAAGGCCACCCCACCTTTTATAAACCATGGCAACCGCCCTGAAGGAGAGTTAAGGAGGGCCCCTGGCACACTATGAGGGCTCACTTGGTAGTTTCACTTATTCTCTGATAATCTACTTATAAGTGTGCTTATTTTAGACATTTCACTAATATAAATTACTTTTTCTTAGAATATGTACTCTTACATCATTTTTAAAAATTGTGGTATGCAATCTTAGCTGACTTTAGTCTGTTGCCAGTATACAGTGTTGCGGGAGTTTCTGGTTTATTTTCTCCCAAGCCAGGATGGAAGACTTAAGATATGCAGAAGGAAAAGTGTTGTGGCCCTCAGGAGAGGTTGCTTTCTGAATATCTTTGACCACCTAACTTGCAGTGGAGTTCCTGTGGTTGCTTCACAGACCAAATTATACCAGCCAAGAGGTAATTCTGTTATCTCTTAGATAATTGACCTAATTAACAATCAATCTAGCCAATCATACAGCCTCAAATTTAATCTCTCCTGGCAATATTTTTGTATTTCAATTCTACACCCATAGCCTTACATCATAATGAACTCCTACAAAAATTCTTAAAAAAGCATATTTTATTATTTTTTAGAGAGTG